ACGAACAGTTCTGTAGTACCTTCCAAACATAGCCCAGGCAATAGCGTACTGCTGGCCAAAACCGATACAAGTTGATAGGCCACACGCCTGGGCGTTTCGTGAAAACGCTCTTGAGTAGCACAACCGGGTAACACACGGTGCTGGAATAACGCCGTTCTACTTTCTTTCATAATCAGGGACAAATTGCAATCACAGAAGCATCAGTCTATGCACACTACAGCCATCTCTGGTAGCATTCAAACTAGTCGTTTCTGAAGCGCCAGTTTCGACCTGACAAAGGCTATATCAACCGTCTGTAGCCCTAGGAAGGAAACATTGTTACAACAGATCCCCATGACCTGCTTCCTCGAGTCCGCGTTTGTTACAATTAGGCAACAGAAATGCAACCTGGAAATTTATGAATGTCATTGAATGACCTTAAATTTTCTCAACTTGAAATGGATTTAGTATCCACTCAGACGGATCCTCAAACATGAGGAGATTTCTCTGCCTTCACTGTTTTTGTCTGACAGCATCCTCCGACCATCTGTCTTTTACAATGCGGTAGGTGTAGTTCCGACAAAAAATCACAAGCAACATTTCTTACCAGGCATTCCATATCCAAATGACATCATCTATTTGACAGCAACCTTCAGGATGCGAAATCCTCGTGACCACTCCATCGTCTTCTACCACAAATTCGGCCTGAAACTGGAATCTATGAAATACCGACTGCTGGCCTTTGATCCTACGGGAGGGGAAACGGCTCAAGAAGGACGACCTTGTTGCCTACGTCTGCTACTTAAAAAAGTCGCTGTCAAGAAGTCAAGCGGAATTAAAACGCTGCATAAAAACAGCCTGCAGCATCTTCCGCAGTTGTTGCAAATGGCCGACTGTGCTGCTGCGACACCACATAAAAGGGATTCACGGCAGACTTCCGCATGACAATACTGAGACTGCACGAAAGCCCGGCGACGGCAATAAACGCACAAACGTCTCGTGATATGGTGATTTTGTTTCGCAGGCACGGCGCCCAATATCATTCCCAGTCGGTAAAAGGTCTTCGACAAGCTACCAGAGAGAGGAACACCGGATCCAAGAAATTCTCTTTGAGATTAGCACGATATGTTTCTAATTGCGGCTTAGCTAGTTTCAAACGAAGACACGGTTAACCTACTCTGAACTGAGGTTAGAGCTCCAGTGGCGCCTTTCTAGTGTAAACCTTTTTTCGTATGGTGTTGAGGGCCCCGTTATCTGTGGCATTTCCGAACAGATCATCGGAAGTAGACAATCAATGTGCTCACGCATATTTTCAGTTTTTTTCAAGCAAATATGGCAACGTCGAGCGATGGAAGTATCGTCAGAGAGTCTTTAAATCCGTTCCTAGGTTCTGCCGAAGACAGGTTTGAATAGGGAAGACCACAGTTAAAGCTAACCTGCTCAATGACTATACAATATGGTCTATACGCACTAACAAACATTAAAATATCAATATTCTGAACAGCTGATGCCATCGGAAAATACTGCGGGTCCTAAAAATGGCATTTATCGTCGATTGAGGGCACTCGTTGATGATGCAGGAAAAGGTATTCTCTAATGGTTCGGTCAGGAGTTCTGCAGATTCTTAAAGAGTGACCCGCCGGGAACATAATTCCGTCATCGCCGACCAAATAATGCGGTTAACGCAGACCAAAAAAGTATTCCTGAAACGACATTCTTCGGAAAGGGACGTCAAATGGACAATGATCGCCAAGTGCTCGGCCGTAGACCGAATTACACTCAAATGCAACACAGTGGGACAAGCCGTTCGAAAGTAAATGAACTCAATAAACTGAAGCGAGAAACGTCCTGAAGGCAGTGTATGGATGGAAGCCCTGGACCATGCGTAACGGCTCGACAGGAGGTAAAAAATAAAACATCGGACGGATGGTGGTGATGGTGACGCTAGTGGGTGTGTGAGAAACAAAACTGGCCTCAAAAGAGGTCGAGACGGACAGGTAGGCTGAACCGAATGCAAGTTGACATGGTGACGCACACACAAACATTCAAATAGCAAGCATTTGTACACAGTAATCACGACCGCAACTCCAAAGGGCTTAGCTGGAGGTCACGTGGGGGAGAGCCGGTAAAATTAACTCCATAGGACAGTTATTATCGCATAGGAAGCTGGTGCAAGTGTAAGAAGGAGCAAGTGGGAACGAGAGGGTGGACGCAGTAGACACAATATAAAATCTATTCGAGGTAACAGCCCTGTTTTTCTTTGAAAAAAACCACGGGCATGAGCTTTTTCGAGTTCTCCAGTTTAAGTAGGAGATATTTGTGACTAAGATAGACATGAAATGTGAAAATTGCCATTTCTGCCATAGAGGAGGAATGACTGATAATCTCTCACTCCCCCCGCCCCCTACACCCAAACAAAAAACCATTCGATTAGGGGGGCAGAGCACAGTGAGTGACTGCGAGCACTTTTTTCCAGCGAAGAGACATTGTGTATCATGCATCATAAACAGTCAATAGAGCGAGACCAACATGGCCTAGAATTGGAAAAAGGAGAAGATGAGTGATGAAGTGCTATGTACATGGAAATTGCCAGGCTGACAGCCACCAGAGGTTCAAAAAGTGTGCCCTGAACAACTTGGAGCGCGAGTCTGGGGCAATGAAACAGCGAGTATGCAAGCGAGTGGGAAAAAGGAGGGGATGAGCGCGTGAAGAGATCAGCAAAGAAACGAGTTCATCTGCCGTTAGCGTCTTCTGGCGATCATCAGCGCAGCAGGCTGATTGACTGCACTGCAACCAGATTAGTTTTCGAGGAGGAGGAGGAGGAGGAGGAGTTGATGGCGGAATTGGAAGAGACACCCAATTTCACATCACAGAACACTTGGCATTATTATTACCACCAGGCATGGCATGGGGCGCATTAGATGGGGCTGTTGAACCGCTGCCCACTCGGTGCAGTTGTTTTTGCTGGTGCTGAGCAGCCGACTTATGCTGTCCGGCTGAAGTATTGACATGGGAGCCCCGTTTGGCGGCCGATTCGACAGATTCTGTGGGAGAAACTGAACGCACGATGGGCTTACTACTAGCCCGTGTTGGTTGCGATTTTAGACCACTTGGAGGGACGAGAAGGTTTGGATAGGAGAACGGCTTTGTGTCAGCCAGCGTCTTATTACCATTGACGGGCGCACGCGAACGTTGATCGCGCAGCGGGACCTCGGCCGACAGCTTGACCTTAGAAGAAGTGGCAGAGGGTTCTCCTACCATTATACCCCGCCGACCGACCTGCTGGCCAATACGCTGGGCTCCGGGAATGTTGTCCTCATCATTCTCCTCATCGCTCGCCTCTCGGAAGGTAGTGAGAACTCGTGAAGTTAATGGCGGTACCTGAATCCTGTTGACTGTACAGTTTTCTTCCGGTCGATTGCCAGCTGCTTTGCCGGTAGCAACAACCACCTGGTTCTTTTCAGGGTTTCCTCGATCGGTGGGCAACAGTTGTGACGATTGTGAAACAGTTGTAGCTGGCGGGTTGGCGACGAGAACTGATGGATTGGAAGCAAAATCACTCAAGTCGCAGCCATGCGAAGGTAGGGGATCGTCCACCTCGCATCCACCGTAACGATTTGAGATACAAGGGAGCGCAGCTGAGTTGGCAGCGGAATTGGCGAAGGCGCCACCGACTGGTGCACCCTCCGGACGCGAACGATTCTTATTTTGCTGGCCAAAACTCTGAGCACTGCTTGCCGTCGAGTTAGTCATTAGGCCCGGGGTGAATCCGTTCATGCGACTCAAGCGGCCCATGGCATTTGCTCCGCGGACGCTGAAATTCCACAAAATTTTACAAGTTAAATAGTGCGTGAACTTAAAAAAAAGGCAAAATGGCTCTGAAAACTAAGAATTTAATTTCCTTTGTATGAACTGGAATACGCACATCCCAAGAAATTTAGATTTTGAAGAAGATTTTCTTTTGAGATAAAATAACTTTAATGGGTGAATTTTCGAGTTTGGCACCCCAACTCGTCTTCGGACTAACAAGACAAACAAGAAATGTGCAAGGAACAACTAAAATTTCAAAACCGCCGAAAAAATCAATAGTTGTACAAAGTGAGACACGACTGGTCGGTTTGGTCTTACTTACTTTCTGTCTTGCGGTCTCGGTATTTTCCATCGTTCTTTGATATGTTTATAAATACCATCTAACTCAACGTGTCGGTTAATGCATGAATCGTCGGAGTGCATGGCTTCGAGGAATTCTCGGCCATTTTTGGAGTGGCAAACTCCGACGATGCGTGTTTTATCCCATGCGAAAGTGTGTTTTGTCTTGACGCAATGCATGGCCACTTCGGAAAAACGATCACGTCTATTTACGGTCGATTGGTGTTCGCGGATGCGCGTGGGTGCCAAACTCGAAAATTCACCCATTAAAGTTATTTTATCCCAAAAGAACATCTTCAAAATTTAATTTCCATCATAAGGGGCTAGGATCTTCATTTGAGTCAATTACAAAAATAAGACTGCAATTTAAATCAAATAATGAAGCCCAATCATTGCATACAATACATTTTGATTTAAGCCGAGAATACCATAAATACATGAAAGGACAGTCGAATCCTTAAAAGAAAAAAATGTCGACAAAAACTGACGAGTACGCTGGCCAGGGAGAAGTCTGCAAGGAAGGGTACCAGTATGCTAAGACTGGTACGACCGTCTCGGTGAACTAGATTCACAACTGCCCCTCGAAGTGGACCCAGCAGTGACTTCCACTGCACTCACATTTTCCACATCCGTTGTGCACCGATAAAAAGGCAAAGAAGGAATGATCAAAAAAGCGCGTAGGGCTAGTAACCGGCAAAGTGAAACGGTCCGTCTACCACAACCGCACGCTAGCTTGGCCCTGCTCCATGTTTACTAGACCTCAAGTGGAAGTGACATAAAGACCACGTCAGGAAGAAGCTATGCTGGTCCGACCTAGGGCGGTTAACGTCACCCCTGTTAGTAACAAATGTTAGGTTACGATTATCAACGCATCATGATAATCGAGAAAATGCATTCGATTGCGTGTCGTGGGCAAACTATGTGCTGATTCACAGCTGGACCGACTGACTGACAATTAAATTTGGCGCAGTGATGCAGCCGCTGCTCAACGCATGACATATAATGCGGCAAAGATGACAGCAGTGAGAGGAGGCATTAAGACGCTGTAAAGACAATCCAATCTATGTCCCGGATGAGGGTCGAGCTAG